TCAACTGTCCCCCCAGATAAGAGTTCATTCACAGATACAGATAAAGATACATACATAAGTATTACTTTGGGGTCCCGTAAGACCGGAGAAACTCCAGAATCTATGAGTTTTTCGCCTTCTTTTTCAAGATGAAGGGTTAATGCTTTTACCAAGATGTTTTCCTAAGTTCCTAAGTTTTCAAGACATTCCAAAACTCCAAAACAATGGATGTCAAAGGGAACTTAGGGTTTCGGTTCGCAAATAGAAGACTTTTTTAGGGTATTCCGTATACATATATCGTTTGTTGTTCAATTTCTGTGTGTTTCTGTTTGTTCGTTGATTAATTTCGTTTTAATTTTCGTTCCAAAAGGCGGCACTGAGGAAACGGGCAAATAAACAAAACAGCAAAAAACAAAAAAAAGACAATACAGATGGGTTTATTATCGGTATGGAGTACATATGTATATAGAGACTCTATGTATATACAGAGACTCCGGACAGTTTATACAAATTTGCTCATACAATTTTCTTAGTTCTTTAGCGGATGATATGAATGTGATGTGTTTATATTTCCAATTTGATTTGACCACACAAACACAGCCAGAGAACACAGAAAGAGGAGCCCCAATTCTGTTGCTGGGGGTTCGGTCCGGTCTGGAGCACACATGTTGTGGAAGTTCTAGCCTTTAGCATACATGAGATCAGAGGCTGTGCTATAATTAGCGATCCGACCCCCAAACTGCACAACACAATCCTATCCTTCCTGTCCGGCCGTACAATCTAGACAGATGAATGCACATCTGCGCCTCCAAGGCGTAGCTTGGCTCACATTTTAATTAGCCATCCAATCCATCCATCCATCCATCCCCCCCCTCCTCTCCCACTGTTGCCGAGCCGAAAAGCGCTTAGAAGTGCAGTTTTTTCGAGTCCGCCTGCCTTGTAGTACGTATACGAGTAATGTCTTCACTTTGAGGCATGGCATCATGTTACAGAAATGCACATAAACCACACTACAATTTCTAGACATGCCAGCGTACGAGTACATAGAATTAGCTGGGTCTTATGCGACATACATATGCAGGAATGTACTAGTAGATCATCTAGCAGATGACCCTTTTGGCCATCAGCTGATCGGTGGTAAGCCAAATAGCAAAACTTTTCCAATAGCGACCCTCCTCCAACATAACAGTTGATCCCTACGTCTCTCTCGCTCTCTTCCTCTCGCTTCCCCCACCACAACATGCCCTTTATCTTTGCTTTTGAGATCGCACATAAACAGAGACGACGATTAAAAAGACGGAGCAACGGATGCGAAGGAGGATGAGAGAAACAGCAACAAAAACAGGGCACAAGATAATAAACTCCAAAGAGAGTGGAGTGGAGTGGAGTGGAGGCCAGCCAGCTGTAGGATAAACTGCGTAAAAACTCCGCGTGGAGAGAGAAAAACAAAAGCAACTGTAAATGCACTCACCGGACAATCTGATTCCAGCCACAGAACGTGGAAATTCCTTGCGTGGGGGGGGAGAGAGAGCTACGTTTCCCCAAAAACATTTTCTGTTGTACAGAAAAAACAACAAACAGGCCGCTCGCAGCGGTCCAACAATTTTTCGACTTCTTTTTATAAACTTCAAACAGAAGGGAGTACACTCACACGCACACACTCGCGCGCAAGTCTCACAGAGATACGGAAAATGCTAGCGACCCGATCCACGGCACGATCTGTTCGCGGCAAGAGAGAAAAAAACTGTGAAGAGCGGCAAAAGGCGCTCAGGACCGAAAACTGAAGTTGATTCAAAGTCTATTAAGTTAAGGTGCGGCGTCTTGGAATGTGCTCTCAAGATGTTCACTCACACATGTTGTCACGAAGATCACATAGAGCGAGGGAACATGTGTCGCACCCTTTGTAAGTAGACCTTGCGTTGGAACCAATCTGAGCAACAAGTGAAACAGAGAGCGCGAGCGAGAGAGTTTTCTACCTGATGCACGTTTCGTAGGCCTTTTTTCACACAGATGCAACTATTTGGTGTGTATGCAACTGCATGTATTTACATATGCATGTGTGTGTTGCTAAAGAGGTGCTAATCTTTATGTAAAAAGGTTCATCTAATTACATGACATTTTATTTTAATATTTTACTAAGTTTAGTTTTCAAGATTAACGACGTACTTTCCCGTTATTTTTTAAATTTTAATTCAAATTTTTTCCAAATTTCGCTACTCGTTTGCTACTACACCTAGAGTGACCATTCAATTTTAGTGGAAAAATGCATTTAATTTCGTGGTTGACAAACTGACCGTTTTTTACTGGATATATATGTACATATATCCATATATGATATACATATACATGCCTCGTCAAACCGACTAACATCAAATAAGCTTTAATATCCAGGGTTAATTTAATACTATATCATATATGCTTACCGTTATATCATGTAAAAACATGTTTATTTTGTCCGTTGTCTCTATGGCGCTGCCAACTTGTTCTAATGCCCGCCTCAGCATAAGTTTTAAGCGCTTTTCTTCAGCAAAAGATAGCTGTTGTTCTTTCGTTCTTTTGAGCTCTTAACGATAATAAACATATCCTGTGTAATTTATACGCTATTTTGACAAGGATATGAAGTAAAAGAACCTCAATACCATTTGAATTCAAATTAGGCGCCATCGCCCATAACAGTACATTCTGTGCCGGCTGACTGTTATTAACGTTCATCTTTGTGAACTTCTTGCCTGTTCCAGTTCCGTTCCGCTGATAATTACATACAAATGTAGTTGTGTAGTTACTATGTAAAAATGGTGTTAACATAACACCAAAGTGGAGCTGCCACATCGGTAAGAAAGGATTAGCTTCAGCTCTCTGGCAGCCTTGTTTGATATGAATTTCGCGGGAAATTTGAAATTTTGCTTAGAGAAGAACCCAGAGCGCGACCAACTCGTCGAAATTGATTTAAACTTATATATACGGTTTATCGGTACATCAATACTTTTCACACATTCACTTTCAAACTATTTCTCTTTGGAGCGCACCACTCGTATTAAGTCGATAGTTTGAATTGAATAATTTTACCGCGAAAGAGTCAGACGGTCACATTGCTACTCTCTCCTACAACGAAAAAATGAGTCGTAATTTTGAATGTGCTATGAAAAAAGGGATGGACAACAGGCAAAAAAGCCCAGGAAAATAAAATGGTTCGTTCTGTAAGATATGAATATTAGTTTGTAAGATTTGAATACGACGATCAAGAAGGAAGAACATATAATAAAACCGTGCTATTCAAAGTTTACAGTTCAAGGCTCACGTATTAGGTCAATATACCTTGAAGACAAAATCGGTTTCAACGTATATTAGAAAAAAAGAGATTGCCCTCGTTGCATCCTCTGGGCCGTTTTGCATCTTTTTCCACCCATCATGTAGCAAATGTTTAGTTCCCATGTAATAAATTATATGTTCCCATAAATAAATTGAGCATATGTAAACATTCAAAAAACGACTCCGAATGAATTTCGAACGAATGATTGGCCGCCGCCGAAACGCAAACAGTCACACTGTTCACAGTCTTTTCGTTATTAAATTTTATTTGTTTGAACTTTTTAGCTAAGCGCCATTTTTTAGAGTAAACCAGTCAAGTAGGAAATTGATTTATTAATGGGGTAAAATTATGTGGGCAAGGCTAAATTTTCTATACAGCTAGTAATATTCCACGGAATATTGAAATCGAGGAATATGATGAATTCGTTGGTTTATTTTGAAAATGAGACCGTATATTTCGGTATTTATTTGAATCGGTAATAACCGGTAGGCAACATGAGTCCCATTCCATGCTTTACCATGCCCTACCATTGAAACCAACAACCAGGTAAACCCAACGGGAAATACTTTTCTTGGGGTGGGTACCCTTACTCACAGGTTCAAATATCGTATCGGTTTTGGTAACTAATCGGTTCGGAAACGGAAACGCGGATTTTTCATTTCACCCAATTTCAAATGTTCTAAAATAAATCGTTATCGGGTTCAAAAATGTATTTCAAAACATGTTGCTGTAGGAACATGTTCACGTAACCACTTACGTTTTTACCGTTGGCAACATTCACTTCGCTTGAGCCAGACTCATGTGCCGAGAAAACAAGCAACATTCATCATACCCTGGGGAAATAGATATTATAGAATTGAGGAAAGGTTTGTCATCCCAGGCTTCAATGAATTCAGAAAGATATTTAAATGATCAAAAACATTTCCATCCATGAAAAAGTCATTATTAATTACTTTTTAAAGCACACTGAAAAACAGAATTTTCACATCATTAAAGGAAATTGGGTATAAAAACGGCCCATACCTTCGGCAGATATGTATGATGGAACTCGAATAATTCGTCAGTATTTTTACGGTATATTTCGAAAACGAGACGGTATATTTTGGTATATTTCTGAGGGTCAGTTTGAGCGTTAGTGCCTTTGCTCTTCCCGTTAGTGCATTTACGAATGAATTTCAAAGGAATGAATGGCCGCCGCCGAAACACAAACGCAAACGCAAAACGCGAAAGTCAAGACGGAGGCGCGCGCGTTTTTTCCGTCAAAAATACCACAAAAAAGTAAATTAAATCAAGAAAAACGCCGCCAAAACACACACGACAAAGAGAAAAATAAATTAAAATTATTAGTGTTATGTACAAAATAAAAAGTGCCCCCTAAGCCCCCTGCTGCTACCAACAGCCCCCTATCTATGTGTATGTGTATCTGTGTGTGTTCGCGAGTGCTTGTGTGTGTGTGAAAAATGCATTAATTACACCAATTCCAAGGCGAAAAAGCTACAACAAAAAATACCACAGCAAATACAATCAAATACAAACAAAAACAAAACGGAAAAGCAAATATATAAAAAATACCAACCAAAAGAATAAAATTATGCAAATTTTTTTGTTGTTTTCCCAATACAAAAATAATTTTTTGTGATGCTCTTTCTGATGAATGAAATTCACAGAAAAACCGCAAAAAAAATATACAAAAATTTGTTGTGTCTCTAAACAAATATATAAACGGTAATATTTGGACTCGCGATTCGGTTCGGGATCGTTGGGCTATAGCTTCTGAGCCCCCACCGTCAAAGAACTGTACCGTACCGGTCGTCGCGTCGCTTCTTTGGAGGTGTTTCGAAAAAGTACCACCACGAAAATGCATAAATTTCGAATACAGTCCAAAACGGGTGCACAATAAGCCGACAAAAACAGGATCCTTCAGCGGCTAAGGAACACCTCATCAATGGTGTAAGTATTACCGCATTTTGTGGAAGCTTCCAGCAGCAGACAGGTGGGGGGCATACGTATGCCTGGAAGAAGAGTATGAGTTTATGGGGAGGTGTATCCCGTTTTCAGGGGCACACATTTTTGGGGGGATTCCCAGGGAGACTTTTACTTGGAGATACGCCTACATTTCGAGGGAAATATATGGTATTATTTAGGGGGGAAATGCATCAATTCATAAAGGGGAAATGTACCAATTAAGGGAAATTTTTGTGCTTTGCTTAGAGCTAGAAGCAAGGAGCCGAGCCCCTTCTTGGAGATCCTTATGGAAAGGGGAATTCGGTAATAAATATTAGTAGGCAAATCGGTAATCGGTAATACAGCAGACCAATGCAGGTGCTTTTGCAGTGGAGACTGAGGCAGTGAAAAAGGGTGTGACTAAGGACGATTTCAGTAACAGAAATTAATGCGTAATTAGAATTTCCCTAAAAGAGAATACCATTTTTTATAGCCAGAAAATATTCGTATCCACAAATAACAGTAACATGAGTATGTTTCTGATAGACAAACATTTCCAATAAACTGTTGTGGAAATCCAGAATAAGTGTTTTTTCAAGGGGATAATATAGGTATATATTTTTATTTCTAGAAATTGAAATTCTAGCAGTACAATTCTATTGAATTGATTTCTTTCAAAGAAGACATATCCACGACACAGTTCTGTCTGGAAAAATGTATACTTTGAACATAAATAAAAGAACATGTGCAAAAACAGACTTTATTTCCAGCAGAACTCCACATTTTCTTCTAAGAAATGACTCTACTCAGTCTGTATTCCTACAATATATTACTACTGATTAGAAAATGATTATCATTATCACTTGTATATAATATTTCTTTCCATTTTTCTATTTCATTGCAGCTCTCAACGCAATTGGTAAGAAAGGAAATCCAAACCCAACGAAAACCAATAAAATGTGTTTGTATGGTGCCAGAATCTCTATAGAGAGAGCTCTCTCTATAGATAAATATATGTAGTTCCAAAAAAGTGTACAAAAAGTGTTTTAAACAAGTGAAAAAGTCCCCTCAGAGAAATAAACCCATGAAAAGTCTTACAAAAGATGAAATATACCCAAAAATAACCAAAGAAATTAAATATCCTAAAAAAAACAACAACAAAATGGAAAATCCTTCAATATCCTTTAAAATACGAAAGAAAAAAATTAAAAAATCGTAAAAAAAATACGGAATAAAAATAAGTGCAAATTTAACTAAAAAAAAAAGGAAACAACTCAACAACTTCTATATAGAAAAAGAGGATTCCTAGCCGATCCGATCTGCAGCACAAAGAAAAATGGCACAACTTCTGTCTGGGGCGGGGGCTGGGGCTGGGGAGCTCTGCTCTGCTACGCTGCCGGCTTCGAAGTCCTCTGTCGCTGTCCTCTGCTGGCTGCGAGCAGCAATTAACTCGAAAGCAAAGAATTTCATCAGAAATTCAAAGCACACACACACGCATGGACATTCGTGTATACACGAGGGGGGGGGCACCGACGGATGACGTGCAACGGGGCTGAAAATAAAGAGCGGCAGCAGCGACGTTGGCAGCGGCTACAAGCGCTCGTTCGTCGTCGTGTACATGCATATGTCCGTGTTTGTGTGTGTTTGTGCCAAACTACACAACCAACAACGCAAAATAAACTAGGGAGCGTGAAAGAGAGCGACATATGCGCTGTTTGCGCAGGTCAAAACGAGATGGCCAGCGTTTTGGGTTGGAGAGAAATTGTCGTGTCGCGTCGTCGCGTCGAATGGTTTTTTTTTTTTTTTCCTTAACCCGTTTTGTATGCGTGCGCTCCTGCAAACGCAAAAGCCAGAGCGCCGCCAGTCCCAGTCCCAGCCGCCAGCAGCCCAGCCGCCAGAATATACTCTATTCGCATACATTTTCTGGAAGCAAGTGTGTCGCTTACAGTTTTCTATCGATTCGTTTCCTCAAAGGTTTGACAGCCGGAAAGAGAGACCAGAGATGCGCGCAAAGAAATAAGTTGAAGGCAAGACTAAAGCCGGGAGTGGGGCGTCGCTGGGTGGGGATACAGGACCTGCAGCCAGAGCGACCGTGGTTGAGCCAGCAAGCGCGACAAAAAATACAAAGTTGTCGCGGCATGTGGTGGCATCTCATCTCTTCTTACCACACCCCACCCCCTCGCTCAATGCACAAATACTGCAAATGCTTCTCTCTGCCCCTCAGACAAAACCACTGCAATGCTTCCCCCCTCCCCCGGCCCCTGACAACAGCCACTGCAAATGCGGTCGGTCGACGACGGTGTCGTTGCTGCTGCTGTGCATGTATGTGTGGTCACGTAGCAGCGCGCTAAATACATACACTCCCGCTCATGTACATACATATGTATGCATGTGCATGTGTATGGAAATGTAGATCCATGTATGCGTATGAAAACGGGTTTTTTCTTCTGCCTGGAATATTCATGGATTCTAGGCAATCATTTTCTTTAATGGGGTTTTTTCCCCCCGCAATCATCGTGCATAGATCATCCAATATGAGATCTCCAAAAAACTAAACCAAATATTGCAATAAATGGTACCCGAGCGCGCAGGCAGGCCTTAAATGAATGTCTCTTGTTGTCTCAAAATGGCGTCAGGCGGCGCCTGCTAAAAACGAAAAAACTTAACGAAACGAAAAAAACGTGAACAACGCACAAAGAGAAACTATTTTTTCTGTGTAAAATTCTGTTATTTCTTTCAGTTTTTTTTCTTTCTGTTTGCTTTTTTGCACACGTCAACAAAGAGGGTGGGTGGGGTGGTCGGGATACAGACAGAGAGAGAGAGAGAGACAGAGATGGAGAGAGCAGGCAAGCAGCAAAGAGATACAACAACCGCACCCCACCAGGCATGTAAAGCGACTAAAGCGAGTCTGTCGCGCGGGCCCCAACTTTAAGTACAGCCAGGCCAGGCCCTGGCGCGCGAGAGAGAAACTTTCACGATCGATTGGAGCAGCCGCAGCCAGCCCCATTGTGTTGCTCCCCCCTTTGTATAAATTAGCATAGGTGCGAGCGAGAGGCAGCTCGTTTCGCGTTTGGTATATGTACACCGGACAGCGGCTGCGCAGTTACCATTTTTGTACAGCCAGCTAGCACTCACATATGTACAGAGCTACGCCGCCATCGCACTCACACATAGGCACGGTTATATGTGATTTCCTGCCTGCGCCCCCAAAATGGACAAAAACTACAACTACATGCGGGCTACAAAGCTACAATTCTACGCCGTATCAGGCAGGGGATACGTCGTCATCAAACGACACGAAACAGCACGAACACACATACGCAGACAGAGAAGGAAAAATGACTACATAACCATTTATAAATATACAAGAATAAAAGGGAAGGGGCAGGCAGTGGCAGAGGCAGAGGCAGGGGCAGCGCCAGCGACAACGACAGCGCTACAACAATGACGAGCGGACCGGACGGCCGCAAAAAAACAAAACCAACGGAGAGCAGATACTCGTTTTTCCATGCGGCCTCCCCCACCCCACACTCTTTGCTCAGTACATACATATGTATGCCCATATATACATATTCTTTATATACATCAAACTACATAACACAACCAATACACACACACATACACTCTGTGTGCTCTCCGTGTGTGCGCGCTGAAGCAGCAACAACATGGAACGAACGTCGAAAACCAGTCGCGGCATCTCGCTCTAGCAGCCAAGTGTGAGCAGCTCTATCTCACTCTGGCAACCGAAGAGGCTTTCAGTGCAAAGCAAACGTCAATTATAAGCAAACAAGCGACGTTGCCGAACTTCACCGGCAGAGCAGCAGCACAGGCAGGCCGACCAGCAGAGGCAGAGGCAGGCAGCACTGGCTGTAAGAAAAAGAGAGATAGAGCAATATCATTCCAGAGGAAAAGAGACAGAGATAGAGAGAGAGCTAAGGCTAAGGCGACGTTGCCGAACTTCAGCAGCAGCATGAATTGTATTTGCTATTCTTGTTTCTCTTCTTTTGGTTCTTTAATGCATGGAATTTTAACATGCCCGCCCTCCCCCTGCCGCCCCTCTCCTCTTCTCCTACCCTTAACCCTCTGAACACATCCCCCTGCCCCTGCCCCTGCCCCGCCCCACACCCTGTAGCTACGCTTCGTTGGGTTGGTTTTCGGCCTCGCAATGGACCCCCTTCCAAACTCCCGGCTACCGGACCGACCCGGCCATGTTCTTCGGATGGAATGGTATATGGGATGTTCTTGTGGAGAGAGGGGTTGAGGTAGGGGTAGTACCCCGGTCTGGGATCTGGAATGGATTATAATAACGTGCTGCTGTCTCTCATTTTCCTCATTTTCCACCTTCTGAAAAGAGAGGAAATGACCAAAAACCCTTCAGAAAATGTATATTTTCTGGTTAGAAACGATAGATTCCTATGGAAAAAGAGGTTTTTAATCCTACACAAAATATGTGTCTTTTCTAAATCGAAGTTTTCTTTACGAAACGCATATTTGTACCTTTTTTTTTGATCCTAAATGGATAGTTCTCATATGAAGTCTTCATTCTGATCGCACAGATAATCTTCATTGAGGATATCCATCCTCCATCCTTTTATAAAACAACTCTTTTAATGTATCGTTTATGATTAAAAATATAAGATTCCTTTAGAAAAGATCTCCGTATTTTGCTGAAATGAGAAATAAAAGTATGGCCCATGGAAATGTTCTGTAAATTGCCATTTTCCACCGGACACCCGCATCATTGTAGTGGGTTTTTATAAGGGAAATAATCATGAACATCCGACTTGAGGGCTCTATAAAGCGATCTCTGTAGATCTGTGTGTTTCTTTGACGCTTGGGGCTGGAGAATTGTTCGCTGCTGGGAGATCTGGAGAGGCTTGTGAATCTCGTACCCGGACCGTACCCCATTGTGTATTTCAATATGTTTAAATTGTTGAGAATTGAATTAAATTAAAGATACTTTTGCAATTTTTCCATTTTTAGTTGTTTAAATTAACATAAATTGGCGCAAGTGATGAAATCTAAAGATCTATAGAGATCCCAAAAAGAAGAGATCTATAGAGATCCCAAAATCCCCCAAAAAAAAAAGAAAGTGCATAGCCAACCCCTCCCCCCCAAATAGTGTGAGAGTGATAGTGCTAAAAAGTATCTCAAAAATATACATAAAGTGTATCTAATAAATGTATTTTTTTCCCCCTCATAAAATAGTGCAAATCCTTCATAAAAAAAAGGGTATCTAATATCGAGAAAAATCGAAACAAATCGAAAAATCAAAGATAACGCAGATATAGATAAAGATCTTTTAAATACCGATTGAAATGTGTATAATGTTGAATGCAACAAAGTGGAGTGCGCACTCCATTTGAAATAGATAAAGATGCGCAACCGCTGCCGTGGCCTCCATTTGTGGCATACGACGCGATGCAACGCCTAAATATCCGTGGAAGAAGCAACTGCTGTGAGTGTTCGAATGTTGTCGAAACATGGTACGCGACAGTAGCCGTAACATTTGTTTTGGAAAATTAGCCGAAACTACGACAACCACAACGCCACAACAGCAACAGATCCTGCAACATCCTGTGCAGCAGCCACATCATCAACAGCAGCAGCAGCAGCAGCCAGCATTCGTTGTGGATAGCAGCATTAATAATAATAATATTAACAACAACAATAATAATAATAATCAGAAATTAAAAAGGTAAGAAATTGGTAGAGAAATCTGGCTGTGAAAAAGAATCTGGAGATCTTTATAGATACAAAAATTAAGGAGAACCGAGCTCCAAAATGAGATCCATTAGACATGACATCTATAGATGTACTTTTGGGTTACTTTTTAAGGATCTAAATTATTGAATATTACGCGTGGAGTGAAAAAAAGTAAAGAGTGTCTATAGATCAATAGATAAATCGTTGAAGAGATCTCTGAAGGATAAATCTATAGATATAGATACAAAAATAAAATCGAACGAACATGAAATCCAAAGGGGAACCTTTTTTTTTTTAGCTTTTTAGCTTTTTAGGATATATAAGACATATAGAATTTTATTATTGTCTTCGAGCCGAAGATCAGCTGAAAAACTATTTAAAAATTCATCGATAAATTGGTAGTCCCGTTAAATCTAACCGTAATTTCTTTGTCGAAACTTTTTGGAATCTTTTTATGGTCCTTAAACAGATTTTGCTGTTAAATATAGATATTCTTATATGAAGAATCTGGAAAACTGTGTGTCCAGAAAGGATATGGAAATATGGCACTATTCCGTAGAAATCCGTAGAAAAATTCATAGAAACATACATATTATAGTTGCCTTTTAAAGAAATTGGTAAGGAATTACTATATATAACCCTTTAAAAACAATGGAAAGAAAATTGTAAATTCTACAATAGAGAAAAATATCTGAAATTAATTTCAAACATTTTAAAAGAGGATTTTCAATCCAAATGATCTTTTCCAGCTTTCAAAGACAGAAAATCACCACGAAAAACCTCCTACTATCTCTACGAAAAAAAAGGTCGTATCTGTTGGTTGCGTATGTGTTCCTTATGCGTGACTGTGTGTGGGTGCCGCTAAATGCTTTAGTCACGATTGCCCATTTTTGAAACCAGAATACAGAAAGAAAACCTCTTAGATACGTATGTAGATACTTGGTATGTAAATTTGTATCTGTTGGATGCCTGCGTAGGCCACTTATGGGAGCTACTTGTGCGAGTATCTGCTGCCCACACGAAGGCACCACCAGCTCTTATCACGAGTGGGGAAACGTATCTGTATCTGTGTCTGTGCCTGTGGCTGTGCCTGTGATGCATTTCTAAGCTGACGGTTTGACAGGGCGACGGCGACCTCCTGCTCCTCCTTTTGCTGATGCTGATGCTGATGCTGCTGCTTCTGTAATCGTTGAGATACAAAAAGCTAATGGCTCGGCTCGGCTGTGGCCGTGCCCGAAAAAGAATGTGTAACGTAACGTTTTTTACCTTGACTTGGTCGCTGTGTATCTGTGTATCTTTTGCTTTTGCTTTGGGCTTTTTTCTTCTATGAGCATGTGTATCTATGTGTCTTACCTGAGTGGGCCCACCCTTGTGGATGTATGTGTGTATGTTTGTGCGTTGCGGTGGCTACGTGTACAAATATTAGGCATCACAACTAAGGCCAACAGCAAAAGATACAGATACGCCAAGCAGAGGAGAAGAACAGAGATACAGATACTTGCAGAGAACAGAGAGTCACAGGAAGATACCACAGAGATGGGGGGGGGGCGATATTTTCGTAGAAAGCATATTCGATGTACAGAAACATTAAAGTGTTTCAGGAAGATGCAGATACATTTAGAGCTACAACATGTGGCACTCCCTGTCGTCGCCTGGACTGTCTTCCGTCTCTTAAAAAGCACCTCATACCTTTCAGATACATCTGTATCTTGCTCTCCTATTAAGTAATATCGTAGCTTCTCTTATCTTATCTTTCTTTTTTGATATTTTTGTTTTAAATGTGGCAACAGTTCTCTATTCCGAAAATATAAACAAACAACATTCTCAGGCAGAACTTTCAATGATTTTTAGCCCACATTTTACACGCCAACGATCCTCAGATACCCAGGGTCAAAACACAAGGCAAAAACACAGACAAATATCAAAACAACGCCCTAAAAAAACCCCATAAACTTTGCAACCAAAACACCTGTCTGGTGTCTACAAGTTTTCCCCTTAGAAATGTTTAAAACAATTGAAAATCCAACCTCTATATATCTCTGACAAATATATTCAAAAAACAACTACAAATCAAACAATCTACAAAAACGAGACAGACCAAAAGTAAACACATGGAAATAGCACAAAAAAATACAACAACTAAAATAAAACCAAAAAAAAATAGTGAAAAATATATCAAATTTGATGAAAATAAAGGAAAAAAGAAAATAAAGAAAGAGAAAAAATCCCAAGCAAAAATAATATAGAAAATATAGATTTATATTTTTTTGAAAGCAATCTATCTATGAGTCAACATGACGAAAAGCATCTCTTAAGACATCAAAATGGTCTGCCAAAAAGCAGCAAAAGTATCTCCAAGAACAGCAAAACTATCTCTGAAACATACAAGTATTCCTTAGCTACAAAATATAAATATAATATATAGTATTTCAAGTAAAAAAAAAAAATGGAACAAAAAACGAATACTAGCTCGAGAAATAACTTGTATTTCTTATAGGAAAAATACGCGTCGAAGACCACAAACAAAGCGACGAAAAACCGGTAAAAACCGAACCCGAAAAGTGCGTAATACATGTTTTTTTAATTATAAAAAAACCACACCATTTTGTGAACTATTGTTGGTGTTTTATGCCTCACTTCTTATGACTATCATAATATATAGCACCGTTGGGGGGAGAGGGAGAAACACTTGCAAGTTCATTGTCAATGTCAGAAGAAAACCATGGCTATGGGTCTCTGTTTCTGTTTCTGTTTCGGTCTCTGTCTCTGGGGTTCCGGACGTCTGGCGTTTTGGAAGAGCCTTCAATTTGGATGATTTGTGCTGCGGTAATTACCACAGAAATAACGTGTATTATAGAGGCCTATAGTAGAGACAGAGACCCACTGTTATTGTCTGACATTGATGCGGGTTTAATGCACCAAACATATTCGGGAGGCCAGTGCCACACATCTGTTGTTGGTGTAGGTCTCTCCACTCTCTCTCTCTCTCTCTGTCCCTCTATAAGGCCGGTTTTTGAGTAAATAACCAACAACAACAAAAAACATTTATTATTTTCGGTTCGGTTCGGTGCCTAATGAAGCAATTAAAACATTTGACTCTTGCACTATACGAAACAAATTATAGAAAAAAATAGAGAAAGGAAGGGATAGATAGAGACAGAAAGAGACCATAATTTAAGCTGGAGAGATATATATAATATCTCTTGGAAAAAAAATGTAAAAAGAATAGACGAAATTTGCAAAATTTATTGGTTGTACAAATTTCCCATAAACGAGAAGATTTGAATGCTTTTTATGACCCCTCGACACTGACATTTTTATTGACATTTAATTCAGTTTAAAAGATACACTTCTAGGTTTTTCAGTTAATTTTCATTAATTTGTATATGGATGCACAACTATCCATCTCAAGGCTATTTTTGATCTGTCGATTAGCATTGGAAATGCTCGAAATTTTATTATATATCTACAACGGACCCCACGTCCCAAAGCCCTGACCCAGAGACCTTCTCTACGTTCAGACATCCCTCTCTAATCCTCTCCATTCAGGTCTATACCGACCTCTCTATTCGGTAGACAGTCCTCTATTGACAGTACCGTCCCCCCCGCCCCCCGCTCTATCTTTTAGATCACTTTATTAAAAAGTGTATTTCGTGTTTCGCTTTTTAACACGAGATGTGGCCATAGTAGACACAACAACACCCATAAAACAGCAACAACAATGATCTATATCAGATTTTCTATATATGTACATATGTAACCGACTATACATACATGTACATAGGTATTTAGGTATTTTTATGTGTGTTTTTCTAGAGCTTTTGACTCGTTTCAATGTCATGCTACATTTATTATTGTTGTACCACGTCCGACAATTACGTACCCCTCGCCGCGGAGGAAAAAGGGAGCTCCAATACGTCCATATTTACCTCTTTAGTTCCTCGGGTCTAAAGTCGTCTCTCGCTTTTCGTAGTTGAAAGAGTACCTGTATCTTTTCTCTGATTTCCTGTGGAAGTCCCATCTTTCATTCTGAGCCAAAAACAAATTCGATCTATTACAAAAGAGAGCAAGTATTTTGTAGTTGCTGCAGATACACAGATACATTGTTTGTTCTTCTTCAATTTATCATCCATCTATCACTCTCCTTTCCCTTGCTTTTGTCTAAATATTGTATCTTTTTTCGTTGCTTTTGTTTCAAAATTATTTTGTACAAAAAGTTCTACGAGTACCTATGCTTTTGCCTTACACTATGTATCTTTTGTTTTTGTATCTCTGTGTTTTTGCAATTATCTTGTGTCTATTTTAAAACATTTTATTAACAAATTTTTGAGGCAGAAATAACCTACAGAAAAAAGAAAATTAGAATTAAAGAAAAAGTGGAAAATTTCAATTAGAAAATAAGGTTTTGTGGAAACGTTTTGCACTTTTTTGAATATCGGATATTTTTAGGGATCCTTAAATTGATTCCTGAATAATGTGTGTGAATTTTTTCTCTAGGGTTCGCATTTATATGGGTTTTCCAACAGAAATTCTTTGTCTATAGCACCAATCAGCACTTTCGGATGAGTGGAATATTCAATATTTAATCGTACTATTATGCATGTATTTTTTTCTTGTATTTTCGTTTGATGCAAATATAGTATTTTGATTTAAATTCCGGAATAGCATTTAAATTTTTCTTAAAATTCCCTATAAAACCCCCTAAAAGGTACAGAAAAATATCCACTCTCCTAACTTTTTTACACGAAATTGTAGTAAATAATAACCCTCTATATATAACACGTACTAAAACTATTCCTCTAAAAAACACAACTCAATTATTGTCGGCATCTATTTTTTCGAGTAATTACCTCTATTGTACTTTCGAACTGTGATAATTATTCAAATGT